TACGAGCCATTAACACTGAGGGTATCGTTTAGTCTGTGTACAGTCCCCGCTCCTCTCAAACTAAAACTGGGAGACTTTTTTTTCTTCCTTTTTTTTAGGGGACGGGGCGGTTGTACACAGGCTAGGCATCGCCGTTTACACCAAGGATAGAATTGATGGTAATAAAGAGGAGATCTCCTTAAGCTTGCAGAGGTCTTTCCTGCTACTAGAAAAATCTTGTAATCTTTCATCAATGTAAGAAAGGTATGAGTGGCAAAATATATCTGCAATCTGAATGGCAAAGTTTTTTAGGAAGAAGAAAACAGAGATGTCGCTCAGAGTGGCCAGTAGTGAGTCATGACAGCAGCCCAGAATCCTCAGTACGGCAGCTATCCGTGGCGGTCTCTTCACGTCGTCTTTCCAACTCCTCCACTAAATACTGAAGTGGATTTTCAGGTCTCTTGTACACGATTTGAGCAGCAAAGTTCTGCATGAAAACAAGGGCGAAAGTTAAGGTTCAGGGGCGGATCTAGGGGGAGGGAGCAGAGGGTGTGCACCCCCCCTGAGATGACCTGCGGTTTTGTAATACAACTGGTATTCTGCAAAAAAAAACTATGTGGTTTATTGGTGTTCAAGTAGAGCAAGAGACGAGTGCACCCCCTCCTAAAAAAAATCCTGGATCCGCCCCTGAGGTTTAAGGTTGGGCCGGATTCGATCGGTTCGCGACTTCGTGGTTTATAGCTCAGTTCAGATAGTCAACTAGTCAACCAAAGTCAATCAGTCATAGACGTTCGGTCAGAACATGGAAAATGATTTAAGAAAACAAAGGCAAAAACAAAAAACGGAAGCATATATCCTCGTAACCGTCATTTAATTTACCGGCGTACGATACGCTATTTGCCCAGTCACTCCGGATCCTTCAATTTCAGTTATCCCTACAGGGGTCTGTAAGTTGACTGTAGCTTATAGTCAGTTTAAAATGGAAAAGGTCTCCGCTTGCAGCAGAAAATACAACAACAACATCAACATTCTTTTTTGTGCTCTTTCAAGATACAAAAAGTGTAAAAGACATTAAAAGGAAATAATTGTGAAAAACAGAGAGCCCATTCACTCAGAAATAGCAAAATACAGTAGAATCTCGATAACTCGAACTCGGATAACTCGAATTCCCCGCTAACTCGAACTAAATTTCCTTTCCCTTGATCAAAATTTCACTGAAATTTACCCTGATAATTCGAATTCCCTGCAAACTCGAACTCTTTTTCGTCTCCCTTCAGAGTTCGAGTTACTGGGGTTCTACTGCACACGAAACAATTATACGATCTTGAGAGAAAATAATCTGGAATATGCTACCGTTTCTAGTTCAGCTGGAATCTTTTAAGAGTTAATCTTTCGTCCTCAAATTGTATTCCGCAAGTTACAAAACATGAACTTGGATGTCATGGTAAGAAAACTGCCATCAATCTAAGGCCCAAGCCCTAAACATTGCGAAATTAAATGTATTGCCAGTTATATAACTGACATTCTAGACTGAATTTAAATTAGTTCCTTTTACAAGTGTAGAGATTTATAATCATTTTAACACCGTAACATCCTCACCTGAAACAGTCTTAAAATCTGATGCTTTTCCAAATATTTCACAGATTGGGTGAAAGGATCAATCTCAGTCCCTGGAATATTTGACTCTTCATATTTCCCGGCGGCCGCGTCATCATTAGAATCCCCAACCGGCAAATTATCGTGTTTTCCTTCGTCTGTCACGAAGCTACTTTCCGTAGAAACCGAATTTTTAAGTGATATGCTTGTATTTCCAAGTTGAAAGTTTTCTTCTTTACCCATAACCTCGCTACGATTCGAAGAAATATCGGAATCAACTTCGGCTGTACTACAACCTGAAACAATTTCTCCCGTGTTGAGTTCATTCGTTTCTGTTTCTCGCGATGTTGTGGTCTCCTGGTTTTCTTCTTGGCTGCTCTTAAGCCCGGCATCATCTGCGACAGCTGCTATGCCGTTTTCCGCCGACACCAGTGAGTCAGTCGCTGACTTTTCGCTCATAATTTTATCGACAATCTTATGGTCTTAAATACAGTAACATTAAATGAAAGCAGAGCGCTTTACCTAGTTATCATAACCATTTAGGATGCTCATTGTATGAAAGAAATCCATGTTTGTATTGAATTTTTTATTGAGTTCCTTTCAAATGCTAATACGGCAATTAAGGCGGCAGTTACCATGGCACTAAGGCAATGAATAAGCTCAATTTAATGAAAACTTCTTTCTTTCAATATGCACCCTAATAAGCCCGTCATAAGCCGTTGTTTTAAGACAATCCTGCTTTACCTTGAAATGAAAAGAAATATTGCGCATACTTAAGGGATCATGTCACATTACCCACTAATTGTCTGTATATTTAACAATTATTCCACGAGTGCACGTTGGATATGAATGGTAGAAAACCAACGAGGCGCGTAGCGCCGAGTTGGCTTTAATCATCTCATAACCAACAAGCCCGAATGGAATAATTGTTTTATTGAAAACGCCCACAAAATATCGAGAATTCTTCCCGACTTTATTTGTAAAAACAACTGATTTTCAGCTTATTTTTAATTTTGAGCAGACGCGTACATTTACCATATTTGGAGAGCATGGAATAATATACAAAAACCATGATGGCTAAGCCAATCAGATCTCTAGAATTGCTTTACCCAATGATTCAGTTTTTAATAATAATCATTATTTCTTTAGTGAAAAGCTTCCAGACGGCTCACAAGCGATGTTGCTCATTGCACTCAACGTTTACATTTTCTACTTAAAGCCGAATTATTTAAAAAGAAAAATGGTGCCGAGACCATGACATTTTCTTGCAAGTGAACAAGTTTTCGACTCAGGTGGCGGAAAGTGTGGGAGGGAAGATAGCAAATCTAATAATTTAAAGTAGACTTTATTTCTCCTCTTTCATAATATTTTTGATTTCCTGCACATAGCTATGTCAGTTTTCAAGCAATCTTTTCAAGCCATTTTTCCACTGCATCTAAATCAGCCTCTCCCTCCGCTTGTCCTTTGGCACTACACTCGGCGAACTCCACCTGGATGGGTAACACGTGACCAAACTCAAAATCCTTGCCTTTCTTCCCGACATACCCAGCGGTAGTGGTTGAGCCGCCATCTTGACCTTGCAGGGCAGCGGCTCGAGTGACTCGGAGAGTGTTACTAGAAACATAATCACAAGAATGGATTTTAAAAAGTATACACTCAACTGGAACTAATACAAGACACTGTTTGATAAAACGAAGCAACCGACTACTTTTTAGTTCCCCTCGCCCCAAATTCACAGACGTTTTAGCATACCGCATTTTAAAAGGCATTTCTCAGTTGTAATCGAGTACACTTACAAGACCAAAATGAGTTTAAACAACTGCCGCAGACATTATGAATTGGTTTCAAATGATCCGAGTTGTAAATCCAGTGGTTAGAGAAAGACCGTCTAATCGGAATTGTTAGGTCCACCATATACAAAGCATAGAAAACAATTTCTCAAGAAAGTACCACTCAACAGTTTTCATTTGAATGGTCACAGCTCAAAAATGTATCCACAAACGCAAAACTTTGAACCATAACACCAGTAAAGTTACTGAAAAAAAATCAAAGTAAAATTTTTAAGCACTACTTACATTTCTTTTTCCAGCTGAGACTTTATAACACTTTGTGATTTGGCCGTTGTAAGGTCTGAAGAGAAAAACATACGTGATCAAACCAATGAAAACACGGGTGAAAAAAATTCATTTGGTGAAACAACAGAATATAACTTCTAACACAAGTTTGATAAAGTAAACATTTGACACAAGAACAAAGTTATCAGCCAGAAAACGTCTTAATTATGTTGAAATTTTCTGTCGAGAACTAACCTTGTTTATTGCAAACGACCAGAATTGATACCGCAGACTTGGAAAACCGCTTATCACCAAGAATGTCATACATGACCCTGAAAAAACCAATGGAAAGTCTACCATTTCTTTACCCTCTTAGCAGTGGTTTCTTTCTGGCATGGTTTTAGCACATACGAAGTTATTCATGTCAGGGGCATCCAACGACAAGTGTCTCATAAAGTATTCTCTATGCTTAAGAAGCTTTTTTGGATAATTTGGAATTGCCTTAAAAACTGGTTATCTCTTCAAATGTCTTTGGGGAA